TCTGCAACATACTCTTGTTATCAAGGGTAATGAGATTAAAGCACCTTGTTCAAAATCCTCTGCTATAGTATTTATAATAATCCTCACCGTCGAACTGTGGACTTGTTATGTTCCCAGACGTTTTGTCGGCACCAGACTACAACGCACATTTCTTACGAGTAGAAATAGGTTACTTTTACGTTTTATATTCTTGCCAAAATGAAATGAACATTGTGGTTCGGGGTTATACATGGCCTATTTTGACTGACAATCAGATATTATTACAGATAATCGTATGTAAAAACATCCGTATAATATTGCAAGTGAAATACGATTGTGCGATTGGTCAGAAATGTGCAATTGGTCAGAAATCCCTTTCCCCTGTGAGCAGAATAATACAAACCAACTACAATACAGTTCGCGAAATGACATAATGAAAATGATACTTTAAAACTGAATAAAAATTTAAGCTTGTTCAGATAGTTTATTATCTTATTTACAAACATTTGATATCGAGTTTACAGCATAGTTACATATTCGGCTGAAAAATATTATAGATATTATAAACATAAGTATATGTGCAAATATTTTATGCAGCCCTAGATGCATGCATATATATATATATATATATATTGTACAAAAAAAGGATCTTTTAATTCAGCCACCTTCTAATTTTATTCCCCTTGGAACTTGGAATAGCCAACGCATCGGGATCAAATGGTGCTCCAAAGGCTTGCATACAAGATCTTTTGGAACAGAGGGAATCCACTGGCCTCTATTACACACGGATACCAATGACGTTGTAGTTAAGCGATGAGATTCCTGCATATCAGGCCTGCTCAGCACCCCTAAATCTCGACCAACAGTACCAGCCAGAGCAGTGTCTGTGGTCAATCCGTCCTCATTGCTACTTTTTCTGTATCTAAGAGGACTATCTTCACCAATATTAGCAGCCAACGTTCCTTGAGCAACAAGTTGTCGACTCCATGATTTATAGCCTATACGACTGCTCATCATTGAGTTTGACAACGACATTGATTCAGTGTCGTCTATACTATTTGACTTTAGGATGGGATATTGGGACGTAGGCCAGGTCAATTGAGAAAGATGTGAAAGGCAGCCCAGTTCGATAGCGTCACCATGTTTTAGATAAGGCCCAGGGAAGACCACATTGTCTGAATTATCAAGACCATCATTCGTGTCGTCTCGTTGAGTTCGTATCGCAAGTTTGACGCCTCTTCCTACCGATGGCAGGGCGCACACCACTAAAAATACAAGTGAATATATATCCATTAAAGGTATGTCTTTAGAAGTTATGTTTGAAACTATGATGTTTATCATATAAGGATAAGTTAAAGTTTAGATTATAATTTATTTTGTAATTTTATGTATAGCAACATTAGTAATATTAGTTTTAGTCGGATCTATAAGTTAATCTTCGAAGAAGTGAGGGATAAATTTTGGTTAATGCTTCTATCTAAATCCATTTACCAAAAATGCCTTATCATCCAAAGAATAATTTTATTCTTGACGTATCTAAACCAAATTATAATTAAAAATGAAATATTGGCCTTGATAGGAGAATATAAGCTAAAGGTACATATAGCATTATTCGCAACGCCTTTGGATGAACCAAGGTTTATTCTTCATTCACATCCGCATAACAATTGAATAGTCTAGAAAACCTTTTATTTTCCACAATATGGAAGAACATAGTTATTTTATTGTTATACATTTGAGGAATGATGTAAAGACTAAGGATTGTAATTATAATTTTTGATCAATAATACACATCGGTAACTAACTTTTAATTTAAAGAAAAATGTTTTCAACTATTTCACCTCATGCGGCGTCCCTTTTTCCTGTTCCATTCATAAAACATTATCATACAAGGTTAAAGTCATTACAGAAGTCCTCCAGGATTCGTTGTTATATAAGTTACATTTGAAATAAAAATACCTTAATTCAAATATGCTATTAAACCAGCAATTGGCGGTATGCAAGAACCGTATTAAACAGAATAAATGTCCATATTCTTCAACTTACTTTTCCAAAGCCAGAAATAGGAAAATAACAAGTAAGCCTATTCGAAGGGCTAGTACTAGGATCAAAATTCTATAATGAATGAATTTATGCAAAAATGAAGTTTTATTTTAGTTTGATTGATTGAGTCATGTTTCCTGAGCCGAATGCCATGCGTGGAATTGTTGGCTTTCTCAATGTTGTAAAGTCCTCGCTAGCACACCTTGGCACGTGCGATTTTTCCCATATCCTAAGAAGAATGAGCTTATTTATTATTAGTTCTTTATAATTTATCTGCTCCAAGCCAAAATGGGTAAGTATGATTAATAGCTACACGTTGTTAGCTATTTCTAAAGCTAATGGACCAAGATGATGTCGACAAATCAAATATCTCCACAAATACACATTTATATATATTATTAGCGGAGTAAAGATCTACCCCATAGTTATTCTAAAGGAAAAAGCAAGGCATCATGTATAAAAGGAGACCGGAAATAGAGCAGGAATTACTCATATTAAGCCCTAAGTCAAAGGAGTAAACCAAAAAGGGGGTTGCTTCTTCAGCGTAATGTTTTATTATAGAAGATTTTAAGTGACATGAAATAATTATTTGTAAACTTATAATGAGCTACCTTTATCACTCACGAAAGTTATTTAATTAAACTCAATGAAATTTGCCTGGCATTTATGTAAGATACATTTAAAGCATTTCTAATCTTTTTCATAATATCGTTAAATTTTAACTACAAGTCTTACAGAATTAACATTTACATGCTTTTTGGTTTTAGTTCCATTTATTTAAATCGTCCATTCTTTAGATGTTCTATGGCCTTAATTTCAGTCTGGTAGAGGTAAGTTTTTTACACTGCTTATGAAAAGAGTATATTTACAATTTTCTAATTAATTAGTATTCAAGAGGCTATAACTCCTCAAACCCATTATCCTTAACTAAATTAGGATAACCCAGATATAAGCTATAAGTTAATTATCACAAAATTTGACACTCATGTGAGTCAATTAATTTCTGAAATCAATTGTGATACTAGTTTAAGTTTATACAGATGGATAAGCTATCTTTAAATTATGTCTCTAATTTAATAGACCAAAAGGTTTGGTCCGAGTATCCATAGGCAACTGCTAATTAGCTTGTTATTTTATAAAACGTTGCTATTAATACTGACCAGGTCGACAGTCGGGCAACTGTCCTGTCCACTCGCCAAAGCTACACACCAACACGCCATCACACACAGGTGGTATCAAGTTTTGAAGTGTAGATGAAGTTAATTTCATATAATTGCATTGTTTATTTCCTTGTACGTTGAACAAGTAGTCTTTATGATAGGTTTTCATACTTGAAGCAAAAAAATCTATTTTAGAGTTGAATTTGCTAGATTCTGAAAGAGCTGACGTCTCCGCAGAATAAAAAGGCCGGTATCCAGGAAGGCAGATGTATATTGCTAAGTGGTTATGCTCCCAGCTTAGAAAGCGGACCATTGCCGAACGAATGTCCGGTGGGGAGCTGAGACAAGGACCTGGAGGTAAATAAGATAATTCGAAACTTTAATAAAGAAAAATAGCTAATCGTGAGTTAAGAGATATTTAAAAAATACGATACACAGAAAGAGCAAGAAGCATAGTGGTGATAGGTATATAATTAATGCATAGAGGGATTATGCACTTAAAAAAATATATTGCAGCTTCAACCAACCTATTTTAATTATGGTTGTAAACAAGCTTCTGTATAAACTAATGTAGAAACCTTGGATTTTTTCTATACTAATCTTCTCTTTGTTAGAAATATTTTGTTGCAAGTAATGTAGAAATAAATCTTGATTCAATTTAGCATTTCTTGTGCTAAACTATATTAATGTAATGAGATGTATTTACCTTATTTCGTCTAAGGTGATGAAGGACTGGCAGTAGAATTTTCCCACAATGATATGAGTTGAGCTGACGTTTCCATTGAATTTCACATAGCCCTGCTTTCCCAAAAGTTGTTCTTATCCTGA